TTTTATCCCTCTTTTGTTTGAATTTCTTGTGCAAAAAAGCACAAGTTGAACTTGCAAGTTTACAATTACAGTCTTCGATGTATTTTAAAATCATCATATTTTGGTATTTTTTTTTATAATTAATCAATGATAAACCATTTTCCTTATTCCTATTACTTTTTTTTTAAACTTTATCTTTAAGTTCATTTTAGATTATGGGATGGACTTATATTACAATTACATCATACAAAGCTAATCAAACCTTACTCAATGCAATGAATCTAGGATGCATTTAAATGCCCAATACATTACAAATTTTCATCCACTTTCATCTAACAAATTGTTGGTTACTATGTAGATATTTCCACAAAGAAGAATTTCCTGCAATGGATGTTGTTAGTGCCATTCTTAAACCAGTTGCCGAGACACTTATGGAACCTGTTAAGAAGCATCTAGGCTACCTCATTTCCAGCACCCAACATGTGAGGGATATGAGAAGAAAAATGGGGGAGTTGGATTCACTAAGACATGCCGAAGAAGACCATTTGGATAGGAACATAAGAACTCGTCTTGAGATTTCATTTCAAGTTAGGAGTTGGTTGGAAGAAGTAGAAAAGATCGATGCAAAAGTAAAAACTGTTCCTAGTGATGTTGGTGCTTGTTGCAGTCTCAAGAGTAGACACACAGTCGGAAGGGAAACCTTCAAACTAATTGAGGAGATTGAAAGTGCCACAAGAAAACACTCTTTGATCACCTGGACTGATCATCCCATTCCTTTGGGAAAAATTGATACCATGCAGGCATCCACCTCCACACCATCAACTGACCACGATGACTTTGAGTCGAGAGAAAAAACTTTTACTCAAGCACTGAAAGCACTTGAACCAAACACATCCCACATGATAGCGTTATGTGGGATGGGCGGAGTGGGGAAAACCACAATGATGCAAAGACTGAAGAAGGTTGCCAAAGAAAATAGAATGTTCAGTTACATGGTCGAGGCAGTTATAGGGGAAAAGACAGACCCAATTGCTATTCAACAAGCTGTAGCCGATTACCTTCGTATAGAGTTAAAAGAAAGCACTAAACCAGCAAGAGCTGATAAGCTTCGTGAATGGTTCAAGGCCAACTCTGGAGACGGTAAGAATAAGTTCCTTGTAATATTTGATGATGTCTGGCAATCCGTTGATCTGGAAGATATTGGTTTAAGTCCTTTTCCAAATCAAGGTGTTGACTTCAAGGTCTTGTTGACTTCACGAGACGAACATGTTTGCACAATGATGGGGGTTAAAGCTAATTCAATTATTAATGTGGGACTTCTAACTGAAGTAGAAGCACAGAGTATGTTCCATCAATTTGTAGAAACTTTTGAGCCCGAGCTCTGTAAGATAGGAGAAGTTATCGTAAGAAAGTGTTGCGGTCTACCTATTGCCATTAAAACCATGGCGTGTACTCTAAGAAATAAAAGAAAGGATGCATGGAAGGATGCACTTTCACGTATAGAGCACTATGACATTCGTAGTGTTGCGCCTAAAGTCTTTGAAACAAGCTATCACAATCTCCAAGACGGGGAGACTAAATCCGTATTTTTGATGTGTGGTTTGTTTCCTGAAGACTTCGATATTCCTACCGAGGAGTTGATGAAGTATGGATGGGGCTTAAAGCTATTTGACAGAGTTTATACAATTAGAGAAGCAAGAACCAGGCTCAACACCTGCATTGAGCGACTTGTGCAGACAAATTTGTTAATTGAAAGTGATGATGTTGGGTGTGTCAAGATGCATGATCTGGTGCGTGCTTTTGTTTTGGGTATGTATTCTAAAGTCGAGCATGCTTCAATTGTCAACCATGGTAATATGCATGGGTGGACTAAAAATGATATGAACGACTCTTGCAAAACAGTTTCTTTAACATGTGAGAGTGTGTCTGAGTTTCCAGGAGACCTCAAGTTTCCAAACCTAAAGCTTTTGAAACTTATGCATGGAGATAAGACGCTAAGGTTTTCTCAAGACTTTTATGAAGGAATGGAAAATCTCCAGGTAATATCATACCATAAAATGAAGTATCCATTGCTTCCCTCGTCACCTCAATGCTCCACCAACCTTCGAGTGCTTCATCTTAATGAGTGTTCATTACGGATGCTTGATTGCTCTTGTATCGGAAATTTGACGAATCTGGAAGTGCTGAGCTTTGCTAATTCTGGCATTGAACGGATACCTTCAGCAATCGGAAATTTGAAGAAGCTTAGGCAACTTGACCTGAGAGATTGTGATGGTCTTTGTATAGAACAGGGTGTCTTGAAAAATTTGGTCGAACTTGAAGAACTTTATATTGGAAATGCATCTGCGTTTAGAGATTATAACTGCAATGAGATGGCAGAGCGATCAAACAGGCTTTCTGCGTTAGAATTTGAGTTCTTTAATAACAAGGCTCAAGTGAAGAATATGTCATTTGAGAATCTTGAACGATTCAAGATCTCAGTGGGACGCTCTTTAGATGGAGATATCAGTGAGAGTGCCCATTCATATGAAAACACATTGCAGTTGGTGACCAATAAAACTGAAATATCAGACTGTAAACTTAATGAGTTGTTTGTGAAAACAGAGGTGCTTTGTTTAAGCGTAGATGGTATGAATGATCTTGAAGATGTTGACATGAAGTTGACGAATCCTCAATCCTCTACATTTTGCAATTTAAGAGTCCTTGTCGTTTCTGGGTGTGCAGTGTTGACATACCTATTCAAACTCCATGTTGCAAACACTTTGTCAAAGCTTGAGCATCTAGAAGTTAACAAATGTGATAATATGGAAGAACTCGTACATAATTGTACTATGGGTAGTGGAAAAGAGACAATTATGTTCCCCAAGCTGAAATTTTTATCTTTGCGTGAACTACCGAAACTACTAAGTTTGTGTAATAATGACAACATAATTAAGCTACCACAACTTGTAGAGTTGCAACTTAAGGGCATTCCAGGTTTCACAAGCATTTATCCACAAAACAAGTTGGAAACATCTAGTTTGTTGAAGGAAGAGGTATATATATATATATATATATATATATATATATATATATATATATATATGTTTTATGTTTATACTATTAGACAATCTTTTCAACTAAAAGTTGTAGACTATATGTGTAATTTAAGTATATGATGTATTATTGTTTGGATGTGGCTATTAATGGATGATTATTTTGCAGGTTGTGATTCCTAAGTTGGAGACACTTCGAATTGATGACATGGAGAATTTAAACGAAATATGGCCTTGTGAACTTAGTAGAGGCGAGAAAGTTAAGCTGAGAGAGATTATAGTGAGAAATTGTGATAAACTTTTGAATCTATTCCCGCACAATCCCATGTCTCTGTTGCATCATCTTGAAGAGCTTGAAGTCACGGAATGTGGTTCGATTGCATCATTATTTAACATCGACTTGGATTGTGTTGGTGCAATTAGAGAAGAAGACAACAACAGCATCTTAAGAAGCATCAAAGTGGAGAATTTAGGGAAGCTAACAGAGGTTTGGAGGATAAAAGGCGCAGATAAATCTCATTCCCTTGTCAGTGGCTTTCAAGTTGTTGAAAGCATAAGGATTAGGAAATGTGAGAGGTTTAGAAATCTATTCACACCTATCACCACCAATTTTGATGTGGGGGCACTTTTGGAGATTCGGATTGAAGATTGCGGAGGAGAAACAGGGAAATTCAATGAATCGAAAGAGAGTAGCCAAGAGAAAACGGTAGGGATTTCAATTGCACTTTCTTACTTAATTAAGGATTAAGCTCCTGCCTTTTGAATATCACCAACAACTTTTATGTTCTGGAATCGATACAGCTTAAAGCTCAACCAACATAATGCAAATAGATGAGAGCTGAAGCTAAATGCCTGTATAAAATCCTTTCATCATTTTTCTTGATATTGATAGCAAGTGGAATGATTTCAACTTCAAATTGATGAAAAGCATAGGGACATAGGTTGTATGGAATGAATTCAATGACTTGGATGGGCCGATAAATTTAGTAAACTCAATTTCAAGCCAACTCTGTCTCTTGTTTGAAAATAGTTCACATCTTAACTAAAATATGTTTTCATGTTTCATAGGAGCATATAACATCTTTCAATTATTTATCTCCAACACTTTTTAATTTGTTGAGAATTTTCATCATATGCTAATGTTTCTTGAAAAATTGCCTAAAATCAAAGAAATATTTTTCAAATCCAAAATTCTAAGAGATAATTGTGAATGGACTTGAAGTTATAAATCATTTACTACACACTTCATTAGTGAAGTTACTAATTACATATCTTGTTGGGATATATATGCGCAGACTGATATTCTGTCAGAGGAAGAGACATTGCGAGAAATCACTGGCAATATTTCTAATGTTGCATTCCCATCCTGTCTCATACCCTCTTTTCATAACCTCCATAAACTTTACTTGAAGAAGTATGAAGGAGTGAAGGTGGTGTTTGAGATGGAGAATCCACCAAGTAGAGAATTGGTAAAAACTCACCATAACCAACAACAGCCTATGCTTCTCAACCTCCAGGAATTATATCTATATAATATGGACAACATGAGCTATGTATGGAAGTGCAACCGGTATAGCTTCTTCAATCTTCCAAAACAACAATCTGAATCAACATTCCACAACCTCACAACCATACATGTGTACCAATGCAAAAGCATTAAGTACTTGTTTTCGCCTCTCATGGCAGAACTTTTTTCCAACCTAAAGAATGTCCACATAGAATGGTGTCATGGTATCGAAGAAGTTGTTTCAAACAGAGATGATGAGGATGAAGAAATGACTACTTTGTTCCCTCAGCTTGATTCTCTCACTCTAAAATACATGAACAATCTGAAGCGTATTGGTGGAGGAGGTGCCAAGGATGAGAACACTGAAATATCTTTCAACAATACCACTACAACTACCGTTTTTCCTGATCGATTTAAGGTATGTTTTGTGCGCATTCAATTACTTATTTAATTTCTTTGATAATATCCATTTTTCCTTGCAATATTCTATGAAAGTCACCAAATCACATATTAAAGATTTAAACCTTTATTGCACACCTATTACCTACCATGCAAACTCAAGAATTGGATTTGGAGGCCTAAATATTTCCATTCATCCGAACTAGTATTACCTTGTAGTTGTTAGTTATCATAATTCATATCATTTACTGATGAGATTTCTTTTTTATTTTTATTTTTCATTAGAAATGCACACACATCTAATTAAGCTTGCCTTTCTATGTGAATCCTCTGTTGATTCTGTGACCAAGCATCATTGATTATATTTCCATTTTCATAATTGTGTTTATTTTGGATAATTCTTTCCTTTTATAGTTGTAATTTTATAATCATAGATTATACTTTTATAGTTGTTTCTGTGACCAAGCATCATGGATTGTTGTATTCATTTTGCCGAAATAAAAACCACGATATGTGCTATAATCTTAAAAGTAAGAAACAAAAAGGCAGTTCATAATTAGTTGAATGTAACTTAGTTTGGATAATAGGGCCATCAGGTGACACTTGACAGGTATTGTAGCTTAAAATTCAATAATTTATAATAATATCTAAAGCTAATTTTTGTAAGTGGTATGTCTTTTATTGTCTCATCAGTAAATCCCGGCATTAATTATAAAACAAAACCCAAAACCACATTTTTGATGTGGAGAGCACTCGTGTCATTTAGTATAAAAAAAACAAGGTTTTGGATTAAATGTCTTATACAAAAGCTGTGTCTATGCTTTAATATTTCATCAATTTTCCATGTGATGTTGCAGTTGTCTGAAGCAGGTGGTGTTTCTTGGAGCTTATGCCAATACTCTAGAGAGATAGAAATAGAACACTGCCCTGCATTGTCAAGTGTGATTCCATGTTATGCAGCAGGACAAATGCAAAAGCTTCGAGTGCTGAGAATATTGTGTTGCAGTGGGATAAAGGAGGTATTTGAAACTCAATCAGGGATGATCAGCAACAAAAACAAGAGGGGTTGTGGTGAAGGAATTCCAAGAGTAAATAACAATGTTATTATGCTTCCCAATCTAAAGATATTGGAAATCGTAGTTTGTGGGGGTTTAGAACATATATTCACATTCTCTGCAATTGGAAGCCTGACACATCTTGAAGAGTTAACAATATCTAGTTGTGATTCAATGAAAGTGATTGTGAAGAAGGAAGAAGAAGATGCGTCATCATCATCATCTTCTTCTAAGAAGGTTGTGGTCTTTCCTCGTCTAAAGTCCATTGAACTAAGTTATCTACCAGAGCTGGAGGGTTTCTTCTTGGGGATGAATGAGTTCGGATTTCCTTCATTGGATAATGTTACCATCAAGAAATGCCCCCAAATGAGAGTGTTTGCACCTGGAGGGTCCACAGCTCTCCAACTCAAGTATATACGCACAGGATTAGGCAAACATACTCTTGATGAATCAGGCCTTAACTTCTTTCATGTTCAGCATCATCAGGTATAAGATACTTCTTTGGCATCATATAATTATGAAAGATATCATGCATGTTGTCACTTGGAATCAAAATTTTCCATTTTGAACGAGGGAAAAACGTCCAAAATAGCCTTACTTATCTAACATAATTTATGAGATCAAAATTAGTTATCCGTTTGATAACTTTTAGTTGGAGTTAAATATCATGGTCACTAATAATTATAATCTCTTCAATTTCGTTAAACTTACAAAATATATATGAAATTTCAAATGTTTTTATTTGACATATATATTACTTAGGCATTTTCTTTATTGGACTCGCAGCAAACCGCTTTCCCGAGTTTACATGGTGCAACTTCGTTCCCTACAACTTCAGAAGCAATACCTTGGTATTTTCATAACTTGATCGAATTAGATGTGGAACGGAATCATGATGTTAAAAATATTATTCCATCCGGTGAATTGCTGCAACTGCAAAAGCTGGAAAATATTAGTGTGAGTGATTGTGAGATGGTAGAAGAGTTATTTGAAACTGCATTGGAAGCAGCAGGGAGAAATAGAAAAAGTAGTAGTGGACGTGGTTTTGATGAACCGTCACAAACTACTACTCTTGTCAATATTCCAAACCTAAGAGAAATGACGTTGGATTTGTTAGAAAATCTCAGGTATATAGGGAAGAGCACTCGGTGGACAGTTTATGAGTTTCCAAACCTAACAAGTCTCTATATTGGTTGTTGCAAAAGGTTAGATCATGTGTTTACTAGTTCCATGGTTGGTAGTCTATTGCAACTCCAAGAGCTAACTGTAAGGTACTGCCACAATATGGAGGAGGTCATTGTCAAGGATGCAAGTGGTGTTGTGGAAGAAGAATCTATTTGCAAGAGGAATGAGATTCTTGTGTTACCTCGTCTAAAGTCCTTGATATTAGATGACCTTCCATGTCTTAAGGGGTTTAGCTTGGGGAAGGAGGATTTTTCATTCCCTTTATGGGATACTTTGGAAATCTACTACTGCCCAGCAATAACGGCTTTCACCAAGGGATATTCGGCTACTCCGAAGCTAAAAGAAATAGTAACAAGATGTGGCTCGTTTTATGCAGGGGAAGACATCAACTCCTTTATAAAGATCAAACAAGAGGTAAACTAGATCTTTCTTGCTTTAATCATTCTTGAACTACATTTGAAAAGTTTCATGCAGTTCTTTTGTTATTCTCAAAATCCCCAACCGATATTTTCAACTTTATAATTATGTATTTATGCAGGAATTTAAAAACGACCAAGACTCTCATTAACGTGAAGTAAACATTAAAGGTAAATTCTATTTTCACTTCTCCATAATGCCTATTAATGGCCTTCTAATTCATGATTTTCAGATGTATTCTTCTTCTTCTTCATGATGATGTGAATCCTCCAACACCCCATTGATTGTTATGTAGGTTTCTCTCGTTGAATGGTGATGACCATCTAAATCAATTGACTATCTGTCGATAGTATTCAAGGATAGAATTGTTGATCGTATGAAGAGGAACTAAACAAGAACATGTTTGCTATGAAGATGTTAATGTATGAATCACGGATCTAATTAGTTTGTTGGTTGGATGTTGATTTTAATGTTTCAGACTTGTTGTTATGTGGGTTTACCTGTGTTAACAGGATAAAGAGTGAGCTTGTGATGTTAGTAAATGTTGGACTCAAGCATGGAAAAATAGAAATGACTTGTGAAAATATACACAAATTAGAAGGGTGGAATATTGGAAACTTAATTGGTACGTTTGAGATTTTTAATGAAAATATTATTGGGTATAACTTGAAGCAAATACCATGAAAGTAGTTAGAAGCAGAATTTGCTGCCATCTTCAGCTACTTATAGTTTATTCTTCTTACCTGAAAAAATCCGATTAAACTTCGGTGTTATTCATTTTAGCTTATAATTGTTTGCGTGATCATATAACTACAAATAATAGGAATGCACTACAAGAAAATTTCAATTTAGCTACGGAAAAATTCCATAGCAAAAAGTTGAAATTCCGTAGCTAAAGCTGAATAACTACGGAATTTACTACGGAAATTTTCACTTAGATTCCGTTGCTTTTTTCCTCGTAGCAAAATGTTTAGCTACAAAATTATAATTCCGTAGAGGTTTTGCTATGACAATTTCTACGCTATCTATTTCGTTCCAAATTGAGTTCCGTCACAAATTTCGTAACGATTTTTCCGTAACCAGTTCCGTAGCAATGTTTCCGTAGCAAATTTCATAGCAATTTTTCCGTAACCAATTCCGTAGCAATGTTTCCGTAGCTAATTCCATAGCAATTTTTCCGTAACTAATTCCGTAGCAATTTACTCGTTGCCAATTCCGTAGCAGTTTTTCCATATCATAATTCAGTAAATTCGATTATTCAATTCGATTATTTGTATCAATCTATAAAAATACAAATAATATAATATTGAAAGTAACAAAGTATTTTTATAGAAACTAAAAGAAATATCCAATAGATTAAAAAAATACATATTTAAAAATAAAAAAAGTACACATTTACACTTTGAACATCTTTCTCTTTCTGTGGATGATTTATAAATTCATTTTTATTTTTCACTTCTTTTTCACCTTCACTATGTGTTTGACCTTTCATCAGCTTTCTTCTTTCAACTTTTGAAACACACTTTTTCACTCATTGTTCCTTCTCTTCTTCATTATTATTTTTAGATTTCGTTTCTAAAGCATAAGCCCGTATTTTTTCACTGATCTGGCACCAGATTTAAGCCCAAGAGCTTTCTGAAGAAGATCCGAAAGTACTAGAAGCTCCATGTAGTTCTATATGGACATACCTGTTTTTTATCATATAAAAGCAGCATAAAAATTTATCAATAAATTGCATCGAAACAATATATACTTACAAATCTCCTTTTGACGTGTAATGTTTGACTATCATTTCATTTTGTTAAGCATCACATCCACTAATAAGAAAATAATTATCATTGCTTATAAACCAATTGAACTTTTCAAACCAGTGCACTTTTCGTATCTATAAAATTGCCGCAACAAATATTTCCTTATGATTTCACCATAACCATAGTTAGTACAAAAAAATAAACTTACAAATTATTATAAATTACATGATGTTTATTTACCTGAGAAAGTTGTTGATGTGTCTTATTTTCAGTAGCCTTAAAGGCCTTTGCATGAGATGTAAATGTCTTTTCTTGTTTGCTCTCTTGTTTCTTCTTTTGCTCATACCACATTCAAGCATTCGCATGTGCAAAAAAGTGCTCTATCAATTTCCACCTAATTTTTTTTTACTGAAATGTGCATAAAAATACCATCATATGCTTTTGACATCTTTAGAAGTCTTGAAACTGATAATGGATTCAGTTATCAATTGTTACAACACCAATCTATGTATATCCAATACGATTAATCCATTATACAGTTTACGGTAGGAGATTCCTCATTAAAGCAAACAAATTCAGGCCCAAAAGGCTACTAAATAAGTAAATATTAATCTATCTAAATAATCTCATCATTCAGGCCCAAAAGACGTGTTCAGTGATGATTAATGAAATCACAGGATAATAACATCACAAAATTTATTGAACTTCATAGATTTTTTTTCTCAAAATTTGAAATGAAATCCAATTTATAGAAGATAACAGAATAATATAGAAAAGGAATAGATAGTTGAATACGATCGGTATCAATGATGATCTTTTCAGAGTCTCCAACATTACCATTATTAAGTGATATATTATCATGTGTGCATTATATGTATATTATATTCTGTATTTAACCTAGTCAATAGATCTAGTTGTACATTCCTAGATAATCTCTAAGTCAGTTTGTAATCTTGGCTATATATGCCAATCGTATCTTGTACTCTAATAGAATTCTCAATACAACAAAGCATTGCTTTATATGGTATCAGAGCCATCCTGCTCATACGAGCCAAATCGTTCCTACCCTATTCTCTAAAATCAGTCAACAATCACAACAATGGCTTCCAAAAAATACCGTTCAAATCACCGCCTCCACTCACCTCACAATCAAACTTACGCCAAACAATTATCCGGTGTGGAGAAAACAGGTTGAATCAACCTTAATCAGCCTTGACCTAGATGGTCACCTCATCTCAGCACCACCGACGACCACCCTCACAGACAGAGACGGAAAAATCATCGCAAATCCAGAGTATCGGCCATGGTACTGCAAGGATCAGATGATCTTTAGTGCAATTTTAGGGAGTCGCTCAGATTCAATCCAACCCCTGGTGTCATCTGCTACAACAGCCCGTGAGGCTTGGAATCGACTCAATTCCAGTTACGCCTCTACTTCCAGGTCACGCATCATCTCCCTTAAATCTAAACTAGTGAAAAACCCTAAAGGATCACGATCGATCACAAAATTTCTCCAGGATATGCGTGCTATCGCTGATTCCCTGGACCTTGCCCAGAGCCCCGTCACCGAAGAGGACCTCATGGTCCATATTCTCTCACAGCTTGGCGACGAATATCACACCATTGCTGCTGCTCTCAAGGTACGAGAACATCCAATTGAATACTCAGAACTGTTTGACAAACTTACTGACTTTGAACGTAGCCTCAAAGAAGCCCCTCCTCCCTCCGATATCCTGCCTACCACGGTCAATTACACTACCCACAATCAAGGGTTCCACAATCGGTCATCCAATACCAACTCTTCCAATCGACATACTCGATCTTCACCGCCCTTTCAGTCTCGTGGCTCTCAACAGTCTCAATGGCATAACAACAACAATCCTGGTGGTAACCGCAACACAAAAAGCAACCAGTTTTGTCAATTCTGTCACATCCCAGGTCACCTCACCAAGGATTGCCAGAAACTAGCACGCTTCCTCCGCGACAACAACATCACAACTGACAGCCACAGCCATCCACCGCCCACTGCCAATGTCACCACATCCTCCCCAGCCTCTCCAAAATGGATTTTTGATACAGGGGCATCCAATCATGTTGCATCAGATCCTACATCCCTTCATCACGTATCGGAATACGGAGGACCCGATGAGATAGTACTTGGTGATGGTAACTGCTTACCTATTATACATACTGGTCACTCCTATATTCACACATCTCACAAACCATTACTTTTATCTAATGTGCTTCATGTTCCTAAATTAAACAAGAATTTAGTTTCTGTTGGTGAATTATGTGACACTAATCTTGTTTCGGTGGAATTCTTTCCATCTCATTTTTATGTGAAGGATCTGGACACGGGGGCGCGACTCATGCGAGGAGAGAGAACTGATGGCGTTTACCTCACTCGGTTCCCCCAAACACGTTCCATTAATGTCACCTCCAAGACCTCACCACTTCTTCTTCATCACAAACTTGGTCATCCTTCGCGTCAAGTCTTCAAGCATTTAGTTTCTAAGTTAGGTTTTAGATTTCAGTCTGAGTCTAATGTTCATTGTTCATCTTGTTCAATTAATAAAAGCCATAAATTGCCATTTGGTCAAAATTCCTTTGTTGCTACAAAACCACTTCAACTCATTTATTCGGATGTATGGGGACCGGTACAAAAATCTGTTGATAAATTCTCTTATTATGTCATCTTTGTCGATTATTTCACCAAGTATATATGGCTATATCCTTTGACTCACAAAAGTGACGTTGCTCTCATCTTTCCACAATTCAAAGTGTTAGTTGAAAAATTCTTCCAGCTACCCATTGTATCCTTATTTAGTGACAATGGAGGTGAATACATAGGTCTTACCTCATACCTTCAACAGCATGGTATATCTCACTACACAACTCCACCCCACACTCCTGAACAAAATGGCATTGCGGAAAGACGTCACCGGCACATAGTTGAAACCGGTTTAGCACTCCTCCATCATGCTCACATGCCATTAACCTTCTGGTCCCATGCATTCCAAATAGCCGTGTACCTTATCAACCGCCTTCCAACACCCCTCCTCCAAAATAAATCCCCCTTTGAATGCCTCTTTCACCAATTACCAAACTATCATAAACTCCAACCCTTTGGTTGCCTATGCTATCCGTGGCTCCGTCCCTATACCACCTCCAAATTACAACCACGATCAGCCCCTTGTCTATTTCTCGGGTATTCATCATCTAAGTCTGCCTACAAGTGCTATGATACTCAAAACAAAAAATTATACCATTCCAGACATGTGGAGTTCATCCCAACAACATTCCCTTATACCACCGAAAACCTTCCTGAAACACTCCCTACCCCTGATACGCTACTCGACTCACTCACACCTGAACAAAATCCTCTACATACTACCGACATGCCCACCTCTTCAAATCCAGCACCGCCACCTACACCTTCCCCTCCTCTATTCACTACAGCTGATACTCTCCACCCAGAACCCATCACCGACTCCACTACTCCACCCGACGAGGAACCAGCCTCACCCACCCAACAACCACCGTCTCCCAGCACCTCCAATCCACCATCCCCAACAGTACAGCCACCTCCTACAGCCTCAACGCTTCCTGCTCATCGGCATAGAAAACCCAATACCAAATATTACAACCAATCATTTGTTAACTCCACTACTTTACACCCCATTCCAAACTCCATCGAACCAACCACCCATACTCAAGCTCTAAAGGATCCCCAATGGCGCACTGCCATGGACCATGAGTTCAACGCTCTCTTACAAAATGGTACCTGGGAACTAGTAACCAAATCCTCCCACACTCCAATCGGATGCAAATGGATTTTCCGCATTAAACGCAACCCGGATGGTTCCATCTCCAAATATAAGGCCCGCTTAGTCGCCAAAGGATTCCTCCAACAACAAGGCAAAGACTACTTCGAAACCTTCAGTCCGGTTACTAAACCTGTCACAATTCGCACAGTGCTATCCATTGCCCTCTCCTCTAACTGGAACATCCGACAACTAGACGTTAATAATGCTTTTCTTCATGGCACCTTGCATGAAGAAGTATTCATGACTCAACCTCCTGGTTATATCCATCCTGATTATCCTACTCATGTTTGCAAACTCCGTAAATCTCTCTATGGGCTCAAACAAGCACCTAGAGCTTGGTATCTCGAACTCACTTCCTTCCTTGTGTCGTTTGGCTTTCACAAATCCAAGGCTGATCCATCTTTGTTCATTTATAAATCCGGTCCCATCATTAGTTATCTCCTTGTGTACGTCGATGATTTTGTACTTACCGGCAACAACTCCTTTCTTGACAAGTTCGTCTCCGCATTATCCAATCGGTTCTCCATAAAAGACCTAGGTGCCCTTCATCATTTTTAGGTGTTGAAGTCATTCCTGTCTCTACTGGTCTCTTTCTTTCCCAACACCGTCACATCCATGATCTCTTACAACAATTTCACATGGATGGAGCTAAAGAAGTCACTACTCCGTTAAACTCATCAGCTCACCTTGCATGACGGCTCCCCCAGTACAGATCCGGCACCATATCGCCAACTTGTGGGCTCACTACAGTACCTTGCGTTTACACGTCCGGATATATCTTTTGCGGTCAACAAACTATCACAATTCATGCATGCTCCTACTGACACACATTGGCAAGCTTTAAAAAGAGTTCTTCGATATCTCAAAGGTACAATTTATCATGGCTTATATCTTCACAAGCAATCCAATCTCTCACTTTCAGCCTTCTCGGACTCCGACTGGGGTAGTATTGGGTGTGGTGGTCGCTCCACAACCGCTTATCTTTTATTCCTTGGCTCCAATATTATCTCCTGGCGATCTGCAAGACAAATATCCGTATCTCGTTCGTCTACAGAGGCAGAATACAAAGCCCTTGCCAATGCTGCCTCCGAAGTTATGTGGGTTAAAAACTTATTAAGTGAACTTGGTATCTTGCTGCATCAGTCTCCTACACTTTTCTGTGACAACACCGGTGCTACATATTCATGTGCGAATCCTGTTTACCACTCAAGAATGAAACATGTGGCCTTAGACTACCACTTCGTCCGTGACCAGGTACAAGATGGCTCACTTCATGTTCGTCATGTCAACTCTGTCGATCAGCTTGCAGATGCTCTAACGAAACCTCTCTCACGGGGTCCATTTCAACGACTACGATCCAAGATTGGCGTATCCGATGGATCCTCCATCTTGCGGGGGCATATTAAGTGATATATTATCATGTGTGCATTATATGTATATTATATTCTGTATTTAACCTAGTCAATAGATCTAGTTGTATATTCCTAGATAATCTCTAAGTCAGTTTGTAATCTTGGCTATATATGCCAATCGTATCTTGTACTCTAATAGAATTCTCAATACAACAAAGCATTGTTTTATAGCCATTCAACATCAGTGGTGCAGAATCCGTGAGAAATTAACTGGAAGAACGGGTGCAAAAAGAGGCGAACGGATGATTTAGGTTTGGGAATCTGTAGAGCAATTACTCTCCCAATTTCTAAAAAAAACAAGATTTATTAAACATATTATACTATAACATCGCCAAAAAGATTACATATTATAGCGTTATAATGATGACTTAATATGCAACATTTAAATCTTATTCAATGTGCATTGAATAAAAAATGATTGTTTAACAATGTTAACAAGAATCCGATGTATAAACCTAACTCAATTAACTTATTGGACTACAATTGAAGTAATAGTGTATGTGTGTGTGAGATAGAGAGAATACCATTGTAACTTGAGGTAGGTGAGAATAAAACAATTACTAGACTGAATCTGATGGATTAACTCTGCCCCTGCGCTCATAGGATGCTCATTTTCATCTGAGATCGCCTTATGTTGCTTCCAAATGTGATATATATAAGATTTGGGGAAGTATATCTGAAAGAGGGATAAGGGGAACAGGGGAAGGGGGTATATGTATTGACGTAATGAACGTATGAGCGATGATTTGGGAAAACTGCATCATGTAAAAAATATAATGAGATGTAATTAATCTTTTCTTAAAATGTATAAATTATTATAAAATATATATAGTTTTTATTTATGTAAAGTAATATTGTATATAGTTAAATCGTCCCGTATACTTATTATATTAACTAAAATAACTTATAAGTTTAATCAAAATTACTAGTTTGCTATCCGGGATTATTTTTTATAATAACATTTTTAAATTACCATGATATCTTTTTTTTATATATAATATTAGTAGTTTCTTTTTAAAATTATTTTATATATTTTGCTACGGAAACATACTTTGTAGCTATTTAACTACGGAATACATCGTAGCTAAATCGCTACGAATTTTAATTCCGTAACAATTTTGCAAATTTGAAAACCAACTGCATACAGAAATAACTACGCTCAATAATTTCTTAACAAGTTCTATAGTAAACTAGCTATATAATTTAATTGCGTGGCAACTTTTCGTAACAAAATAACCATGGGTTTCAATTTCATAACCACCTAACTACAGATTTGGATATCGTAGCCAATTCTCTAGCTAAATAGCTACGAATATTAATTTCATAGCATGTTGTGTAGCGAATTAGCTCCAACCAAAAATTCCATAGCATACTTTGTAGTAAAATAGTTACGGATTTTGAGTCTGTAACAACTATTCAAGGTTTAGCTACACAATTTAATTACGTAGCCATTTCCATAGCAAATTACTTATGGCCAACCATTGTGTAGTATATTCCATAGTAAAATAACTATGAAATTTGATTTCGTAACAATTTTACGTGCCTATTTATGATTTAGCTATGGAATGCACTTTCGTAAGTATTTCCGTAGAAAAATAGCTACGACAAGCCATTCTGTAACATATTCCGTAATAAAATAACTACGGATTTTGATTGCGTAGCAACTTTCTGTAGCAATTCAAGATTTTTCTTGTAGTGATGGGAAAAATAAGTGATGCTACTCACATTGCTACCTCCTTGGCTTCATATTTCTTCTATTAATCACAATTGCTTATAACATATATCACATATATTATAATGTTAATGATGCTCAGTGATTAATAGTCTAACTTTCGTCGTTATGCTCTGTTAATGGTCACCCTAATCATGCTTTAAGACGATTGAAAGTATTTGCTTAAAGTGTGATGTGTAAATTGTGGAGCTATTGTTTATTAGGACAAAAACTTTGTAAATACACAGCAATTTATGTATTATAAAATTGTAGAGTATAACATTTTAAAGTGTAATTTGTTGTGTAGGAAGAAAAAATATTGTGTTGAAATTAACTCATAGAGAATATGTTTCTTTTCGTCACATATCTATTTATCTAAGATTTCATTGCTCAAATATTAATTTATTCTCTTGCATGGTGGGCTTTCATCAAGCAATTGATGTTTATATATTTGATGATTCGTTATAGTACTCCTTAAAATATGTTCTGTGATCTGAATTACTTGCTCATTATGGGTTTGAAAGGTAAATGTGATACCAGGGTGGTGTAGGGCAGCTCGTTTGATTACTCCATTCTTTCTATAAACATTACGAAAATAGAAACCTGTGTTCTTGTGATTTGAATCTTTAAGTTAAATGTCTATATAGCAACATCTCCAGCTCTATTTTTTTTTTGTTTAGACCACAAGCTTTTACCTAGTGCCTGATGAATGGTTGCTTCCCAAGTGAAATGATTTATCTTTTCCATACAAAATGTAATCTTTTGGAGCATTTATGAAAGAAATCAAATCGTTTGAAGCATTTATGAGAATATATTATCAAATTAATAGAATGATAACTTTACATATATATAACCCATTAGAATTTATTAAAATTTTATTTTAAGAAATGTGAAATCCTCAAAAAATGACAAGTGGAAAATAATAATTTTAAAAGTCTTAAAAAATGACATGTGTCAAAATGAAGAAGAATATGACAAGTGGGAAAAAAACCTTTATTTATTAGTAAGGATTCTTAAACATGGTGCTGAAAGGCGGAAGCTCATGGTTACCTTTTTTTTAAACATTTTGTATTTTAAACTTAATAGATTTCTAAAGATTTAGTTGATCTTAAAATATTATATATTTTACGCTTAACAAAAATTAGAGAAAAAAAATGGTAACATATAGTATTTGATGTAATATACGAAGAATATATTAATCTTATATTGGAGTATTAAAATA